GCCTGAGACTTACTGCATTATAAGTAATTGAAATGATTCAACTATTACTATATAAAAATAAACAAAAAGTAATGACCAAAAATGATTCATTAACTTTTTCTGAATGATCAAAAATAAAAAATAGGCCGTATCTATTTAAAAATCTCATTTTAGTCACCTAATTTTAAAAATATGGACTCGAATTATCTCGTGAAAGAACTAACTTGATCCATATTTAAAGAATCAATGAATTAGATTGCTAATTCCATATAATTGAAGATTATTTTAAATTTTTGGAAAAAGTATTAATTCAATCTTTTCTCCATAAATAAATAAATAATTTGTTTTAGATATATATTGTAAAAATCGGTAGATTAAAACAGAAATTATAATCGTTCGGAAAAAAGTTAGAAGACTATTCAATCTTTTTTCTCAGTAAATAAATAAATAAATCATTTTCATATTTTAATGCTAATTGTTCCAGTATTAAGCATCTCTTAAATCACAACTATTTTTCCGTTGCATTCAAAAATCTTCTTTGTGTTAAAAAATTGATTTGTGCAACAGTTTTGTTGCGTCCTGGAGTATTCGCGGCGGTAGAGAAATAAATAGTTTAACATTTAGCATTGTACGAAGATCCAGCACACAATCAGATAAGTGAGAGGGTGTAGCATTCATAACAGATACTAGAGTTTTTACGTGGAAAACCCCTGAAAAGGGGGAAAAACCACGGGGCATTGCCCAGTTTGAATGAATCCGCTAGTATTTGTAGTCGATTACAAATGAGGCCCTTCTTAGGGAGAAAGCCTTGGCTTGATGTTACAAATAGAGCGCATTACATGATGGGAGTTATAATAATCAACATAGATATGTTTGTTTGGTTGGAAGGGTCATTGTCGGTGATGGAGGTTGGAAGGACCGTAGTCGGCAAGAGACAAATGTCAGAAAGATCGTTGTCTGGCGATGTAAGTCAGAAGGACCGTAGTCGGCAGGAGACCGGGGTCAGAAAGACCATTGTCTCTTGATGGAGGTCAGAAGGACCAAAGTAGGCGACGGAGGTCAGAATGACCGTAGTCGGTAGGAGACCGGGGTCAGAAAGACCGTTGTCTGTTGATGGAGGTCGGAAGGACCATAGTAGACGATGAAGGTCTGAAGAACCGTAGTCGGCAGAAGACCGGGGTCAAAAAGACCGTTGTCTGTTGATGGAGGTCGGAAGGACCATAATAGGCGACGAAGGTCAGAAGAATCATAGTCGGCAGGAGACCGAGGTCAGAAAGACCATTGTCTGGAGATGGAGGTCGAAAGGATCATAATTGGCAGAAGACCAAGGTCAGAAAGACCGTTGTCTGGTGATGTAGATCGGAGTGACCATAGTAGGCGACGGAGGTCGGGAGGACCATAGTCGGCAGGAGATAGGAGTCTGGAAGACCGTAGTAGAAGGGTGGTACTTCGGTAGAACTCTTGGCGTCAGGTGGTGGCCTGGTGGAGCTCGGGGCCGCAAATGACAGTTCGACAGAAGTCTGAGCCTCCAGTAGTGGTCTGGTGGAGCATAGGGCGCGAAAGTGAGCTCGTCACTAAGAAAGCCGGTATCAGAAATGAAGCCCTCTAGAAAAATGAAAAGAAGTCAAAGAATGAAGTCTTTAATAGCCCCGTTGAATAGGAGGGCGAAGCGAAGGCTTTTTCATTTTTTTAGAGGGGGGCTTCTACCTTCTTAGGAAGAGCCGTACGAGGAGGCTCACGTACGGTTCGGGAGCCGAGCCACTGCACAG